TGCAGAGGCAGGAAGTTGTGAAGTGTGAGAGTGGTATCTTCTACTTGTGGGTTAATGTTAAAGACATACCTCCTTATTTCTTTTCATGCACTTCATGAAGTATCATCAGAAATGCTATCAATGAGCTTTCTTTTGATACTTTTGTTGCTATTGAAGCAGATTCTCCTGATTAAGAAAAGGAGAAGGGAGAACTGTGTAAGCAATAACCCCTCACTTCTAAGCGAAGCAGAGTAAGGTCCTGGCCAATCCCAGGGTTATGGCAGTGAACATATCTGGCCTTCCAGGCTGGCTGGTCCTCCTTTGGCTGTCAGCTTTAGGTTAGCACCTGCCAGGATGTCAACCATATGGGCTAAAAGAGACTGCAACCACTGTCACTATCTTGGCCTTCTACCATTTGGTTTTAGCCAGAACATTTTAAGGATCAATTATGATAATACTTTTAAAAGAGCTTTGAAAATTGTAGCTAACTAGAAATGTAATGGCGTGAGATGATTATGTGAGGCAGTATGAAGTGGTGGAAAACAGTGGTATAGAAATTACTTGCTGTATGATTTTGTTTGGGGGCCTTAATCTCACCGAGACCCTTCAGCTTCTCGTTCATGAAGTAGCCTTTTCCTACCAGCTCTATAGATTATTGTCAGCATCTAATGCAGTGGTTTTCAGTGTGGCTGGTCTTGTCCATTGGGGGTGATTTTGGAGTGAGTAGGGCAAGTTTTAGTTGTTCCAATAATGGGGAAAGGGTGGCATTTGTTGGGGTGGAGAGATTCAGGAATTTTGAGCATCTCACATACACTTGACAATCCTACAGAGAAGTTTTCCACTCCCAGCGTACAGTTGATGGGTCATATGGTAGTCGCATGCCTAGTTCTTTAAGAAAATGTTTTCCAGAGAGGCTGTCCCTTTTTACTTTCTCAACAGCGATGTGCGAATGATCCAGTTTCTCTACAATCTCTTCAGTATTTAATGTTGTCACTATTTCTTATTTTAGTCATTTTGATAGGTGTGTAGAGATATCTAACTGCGGTGTTAATTTACATTTCCTTAGTGGCTAGTGATGTGAAAATCTTTTTGTGTGCCTGTTTGCCATCTGTATATCTTCCTTGGTGAAATGTCTGTTCATTTCTTTCCCTCATTTTCTAATTGGATTGTTAGTTTCTTTACTGTTAAGTTTTGAAAGTTCTTTATATATTCTAGATGCTAGTCCTTTGTTGGATATGTGGTTTGCAAATATTTTCTCTTAACAGAGTCTTTTGCTGAGCAAACTTTAAAATTTTGATGAAGTCTAACTTACTGATTTTTCCTTTTATGGATTATGCTTTTGGTATCAAGTCTAAGCATTCTTTGCCTAACCCTGGATCCTGAAGATTTTCCCTTAAGCTTTCTTTGTAATGTTTTATAGTTTCATGATTTACATTAAGTCTGTGATCCATTTTGAGTCAATTTGTGTGTAAGATGTAAGACTTAGGTCAGGGTTCATTTTTTTGGACCTATGGATGACCAGTTCCTCTAGCACCATTTGTTGAATTATTTTTGCTCCTTTGTCAAGAATCAGTTGGGCATATTTTTATGGGTCTGTTTCTGCATCCTTTACTCTGTTCCATTGATCTGTGTGTTTCTCTCTCCACTAGTACCAGGCAGTCTTGATTATGTTAGCTATATAGTAAGTCTCAAAGCGGGCTTCTCTGGTGGTGCAGTGGTTAAGAATCTGCCTGCCAATGCAGAGGACACGGGTATGAGCCCTGGTCCAGGGAGATCCCACGTGCTGTGGAGCAACTAAGCCCGTGCGCCACAGCTACTGAGCCTGCACTCTAGAGCCCGTGAGCCAGAACTACTGGGCCCACGTGCCACAGCTACTGAAGCCCATGTGCCTAGAGCCTGTGCTCTGCAACAAGAGAAGCCACCGCAATGAGAAGCCCACACACCACAACGAAGAGTAGCCCCCGCTCACTGCAACTAGAGAAAGCCCGTGTGCAGCAACAAAGACCCAATGCAGCCAAAAATAAATAAATAAATAATTTATTTATTTAAAAAAAAAGCCAAGGGATTGGACTAGGGGAAAAAAATGTCTCAAAGATGAGTAGATAGATTCCTACCACTTTATTTTCTTTCTCAAAATGTTTTGTCTATTCTAGTTCTTTTGTCTTTCCGTATACATTTTAAGAATAATCTTGTCTATAGATACAAAAAAATCTTGCTGGGGTTTTGATAGTAATTGTGTTAAAACTGTATGTCAGTTCAGGGAGAAATGACATCTTAGCTATGTTGAGTCTTCCAACCCATGAACATGGTATGTCTCTCCATTTATTTAGATTTTCTTTGATTTCTTTAATCAACAGTGTATAGTTTTCAGCATAGAAGTATGGCACATGTTTTGTAAGATTTATACCTAAGTATTTCATTTTTTGAGTGATTTTAAATGGTATTATATTTTAAATTTTTGTATTCACATGTCTATTGCTAGTATGTAAAATACAGTCAATTCTTGTATGTTTATTTTGTATCCTACAACATTCCTGAACTCATTTATTAGTTCCAGGAGATGTTTTGTAGATTCCTTCGGTTTTTCTATATAGATAATTAAGTCATTGGAAAATAGGGACAGTATTATTTCTTGCTTTCTGATCCGAATGCCTTTTATTTCCTTTTCTTGCCATAATATGTTGACTAGAACTTCCAGGACTATGTTGAGGAAAAGTGGTGAGAGTGAACATCTTTGTCTCATTCCTCATCTTAAAGGGAAAGCATTCAGTTTTTTACCTTTAAGTATAATATTAGCTGTAAGTGTATTCTAGATGTTCTTTATCAAGTTTAGGAAGTTCTCCTCTATCCAATTTTTCTGAGTTTTTTTTTTTAATCATGAATGGGTGTTCAAAATTGTCCAGTGTTTTTCTATATTGACCGACATGATCGTATGTTTTTCTTCTTTAGCCTTTGATATGGTGGATTGTATTGATTAATTTTAGAATATTGAGCCAGCCTTCCATCCCTGTAATAAGCCCCACTTGATCATGGTCTGTAAGTTTTTTATATTACTGAATTCCATTTGCTAGTTTTTTCTGTTTTTTGGGGTTTTTTTGCTGTACGCAGGCCTCTCACTGCTGTGGCCTCTCCCGTTGCAGAGCACAGGCTCCGGACGCGCAGGCTCAGCGGCCATGGCTCACGGACCCAGCCGCTCCGCGGCATGTGGGATCTTCCCGGACCGGGTCACGAACCCGTGTCCCCTGCATCGGCAGGCAGACTCTCAACCACTGCGCCACAAGGGAAGCCCAGTATATATATATATATATATTTAATAAATTTATTTATTTTTGGCTGTGTTGGGTCTTCGTTTCTAAAAATATGGAACGCTTCACAAATTTGCGTGTCATCCTTGCGCAGGGGCCATGCTAATCTCTGTATCGTTCCAATTTTAGTATGTGTGCTGCCGAAACGAGCACCATTTGCTAGTATTTTGTTAAGGATTATTGTATCAATGTTCATGAGAGATATTTGTCTGTAGTTTTCTTTTTTTTAATACTGTCTTTGGTTTTGGTTTCAGCATGATACTAGCTTCATAAAATGAACTGGGAAGTGTTCCTTTCTCTTCTGTTTTCTGGAAGAGGATGTGTAAAATTGGTGTTAATTCTTTATTAAGCATTTGGTAGAAATTTCCCATCTGGGTTGGGAGATTGTTTTTGCTCTTTATCATTTCCTTCCTTCTGCTTGATTTGGGTTTATTTTTTCTAATGTATGCATTTAGTACTATAAAATTCTCTCTCAGCCCCGCCTTAGTTCTGTCCCACAAATTTTGTTACCTTGTATCTTCATTTTTGCTCAGTTAAATATATTTTTTGATTTTCCTTGAGACTTCCTCTTTGACCTATAAATTATTTACAAGGGTGTTGTTTAGTTTCCAGGTGTTTGGAGATTATCCTGTTATCTTTGTTATTGATTTCTGTTTTAATTCCATTTTGGTCATAGAACACCCTCTGTATGATTTCAATTTTTAAAAGTTTGTTGAGGTTTGTTTTATGATCCAGGATATGGTCTATTTTGGTATATGTTCTGTGGACACTTGAAAAGAACGTGTATTCTGCTGCTGTTGGGTAGAGTGTTCTATAAATGTTGATTAGATTCTGTTGGTTAATGGTAATGTTGAGTTCTTTTTCATCCTGTTGATTTTCTGTCTAGATGTACTAGCAATTGTTGATTGAAGGGTGTTGAAGTCTCCAGATATACTTGTGAAATTGTCTGTTTCTCCAAAAGCTTCCATCAGTTTTTGCTTTACATAGTTGGCATCTGTGTTGTTTGGTATGTTTACATTTAGGATTGCTGTTTTATTGGTTGATTGATCCTTTTAAACATTGTATAATGTCCCTGTCTGACTCTGGTAATTTTTTTTGCTTTAAAGTCAACTTTATCCGATATCAAAACAGCCACTCCATCTTTCTTTTGATTAGTGTTTGCATGATGTATCTTTTCCCATCCTTTTACTTTCCACCTTTTACTTTTAATCATACTGTTTATATTTAATATAATTATTATTATGTTAAGGTTTAAACCTGCCATTTTATCTTTTGCTTTCTGTTCTTCCTCTATGTTTAAAATTATTTAAATTCCTCTGTTTCCTTTTTCCTGCCTTCCTGTGGGTTATTTGAACATTTTGTAGAATTCCATTTTGATTTACCTACAGTGTCTTTGAGTGTTTCTCTCTGTAGAGTGTTTTTAGTGGTTGCTTTAGGTGTTATGTCACACAGACACACACACATCTTATCACAGTCTGCTGGTGTCATAATTTTGCCAGTTTTGTATGAGGTATAAAAATCTTGCCTCCCTTTGTGTCCCTTCTCCCCCTATTTATAATAAAGATGTCTTAGATATTTCCTCTCTATACATTTAGAACTATATTAGACCGTATTATAATTTTTGCTTCAACCATCAAACATAATTTAGAAGACTCAAGAGTAGAAGGAAAGAAGGTTGTATTTACCTATATTTTTGCTTACTGTGTTCTTTCAAAGGGTGCTTCTTCACTCCTCTGGAGAAAGACAAGGTGAAAAACACATGACTCATCAAAGATTGTGAGTTACCCTGGAATAATTTTTTTTCTTGGAAACTGCCATTTCCCTCAGGAACTCTCACTGGATCATGTAATTCATGTTTTTATACCCTGTGTGGGGATTTGGCTTTTTTGTTTATGGAGTCTGGATAAATACAACCAGGCTATGCATTTGGCTAGTGTCCCAGCAGGTGCCAGAGAGGCGAGTTTGTCAAATGTAAATTAACATATATAATCTAAACATACTTCCAGTGACTGGGTTTAATATGTGCTCTGTTGACAAAGAAGTCTCCCAGGTAATAAATATTAAATGCTTGGGAATAGAAATACAGAATTAAACTCCAGCCAAAAATTTAGCTCCTGTCTCTTTGGGCAAAGAGACAAAGTGGTGTTTTACTATTTTTTTTTTTTAAACCCTGGATGATTAGCTAACTAGATAAAGAAACATAAAAATGATATGATCTCTTTTTAGTTGAGTTCTCATTAAAAAGAAGTTTGATTAAAAATAAATACATTAGTGCATTTTAGGATAATTATATGTATATATAGTTATATATGTAAGTATATTTCAAGGAAATATAATCAATATAAAAATATATAATATATTTCAAGGAAATATAATAAATATAAAAAATATAAAAATAAGGAAAAAACTCACTAATTTTGAATAATTGGCTCAGTGCTATAGAGAAACCCAGTCTATTTATCTATTTATTCATTTATTGAGATATAATTGACATATAACATTGTATTAGTTTTAGATGTACAACATAATGATTTAACATATGTATATATTTAAAATGATTACCACAATATGTTTAGTCAACATCCATCACCTCACATAGTTACAAATTTGGTTTTTCTTGTGATGAGAACTTTTACCATCTACACTCTTAGTAAATTTCAAATATATAATACAGACTTGTTCACTATAGTCACCATGGTGTGTATTATATCCCCAGGACATATTTATAGAAATTCAGTCTTAATAAGTAAAAATGGTTAAAGTATGGAAGATTTGAATGGATATACAGTGTTAATACTTTAAAGAACTAATAATTAAAGGAAGACTACCAATTAAAAATCCTGACACATTGGCTTTAAGGAAAAGACAAAAGAATTGTCATTGTTACACTCAATGTTGACATGCAAGGAAGTTTCTCAAATACTGTTATTTTACTTCTCAAACTAATATTTTCATTTATCATGTTAGTGCCATTAATTTGTCAAGAAAGCCTTTCTTTTTATAGTTGGAGCAAAATCAAACTTCAAATTAGAGTATATTTGAATCAAAGTCTCTCAACAGTGGCACTGTTGACATTTTGGGTTGGGCGATTCTTTTTTTTTTTTTTTTTTTGGTTTTTGATTGTGGTACGCGGGCTTCTCACTGTTGTGGCCTCTCCAGTTGCGGAGCACAGGCTCTGGACGCACAGGCTCAGCAGCCATGGCTCATGGGCCCAGCCGCTCCGCGGCACGTGGGATCTTCCCAGACCGGGGCACGAACCCGTGTCCCCTGCATCGGCAGGCGGACTCTCAACCACTGCGCCACGAGGGAAGCCCATGGGTGATTCTTTATTGTAGGGGCTGCCCTGTACATTGCAGGATGTTTAGTAGTGTCCTCTACCTACTAGATTCCAGTAGCAACCACTCCTGCCCATCACCTCCACCAAGGAGTGACAAATAAAAATGCCTGCAGGCATTGCTAAATGTCCCCTGGGGACAAATTTGCTTCTGTTTGAGGACCACTGGTCTAAATGATTGGAATATCCAAAATAGTGCAGTTAAAATGTCTTATTGAACATCTACTGTACAATGAGCATGAAAGGAAGGATGCCTTTAATTCAGAGTCAGTGATGTCTAAATAGACCACACTTGATGGCATCTGGGAATCTCCATTTTCATGCTCATTCCAAGGCTGAATTTGGGTGACCATAGCAGACTATTTGATTTACATATGCTTCCATTTTCCCCTTTTCCCTGGCTGGGTTTGGTAGATAACCTGTCTGCTCCACGGTAACTTAGAACAGAGTATACCTTATTATATTTAACATAATAGTTCAAGGATGCCCACGTTGGCTAAATACATTGTTGATTTAATTATTGTGGTTTTGAATAAAGTTTGGCCTTCTTCTTTCCAAATAAATGCTTCATTGACCTTTTCTTTGTAGCTCTTCATAACGCTAATGACACATTCACTAATTTCAAAAAGAGTAATTTCCCCTCCAAAGGTTAATAATTTCAATTAACTGTTCTGATCGAGGTAGGAGTTTTAAGTCTTGGCCAGTTGAGCTAATTGCTGATTCAAGACTCTTGATTGTTCCCTGGCTAATTTCTTTTAAAGAAGCATCTGAACTAGCCTTTCTTTTGCTCATTAGGTGCTTGGCGGCTTCCCAAAGTAAGCAAGGCTGGACATCTGGTATGTGGTACTTTGTACATTGGGGATTTTTGCCATCTCTTTGATATTACCCATTGTCCCCTTTATTTCTTTCAGGCCAGGGTTTCTTCCTCTTGGGATGCTCCTTGATTTCTAACCAGGCTAGTAACACAACTGCAGGAGCCCAAGTAAGGCTTAGGGCAGTGAGAGTCATCAGTTTTTGTTTTTGCTGGGTCTAGTTGAATCATTTTGATGTAGACTAAGAAGACGGCCAGTGTGGGACATGTTCAGTCTAAGGGTTGAGTGGATAGGGGCTGCTTATGAGGAGACGTTTTGACCTGACTTAGACTGAGGAGTTTTCTAGGACATAGGACTTTCATTGCTAAAATCAGGAAAGGCCCAAGCAAATTAGAATGAGTTGGTCACCCTAGGAATACTACTGTAATCCAGACGTCTCATGATTTAGTAGCCTGCGAACTCAAATATGACCACATAGTTATCAATACCTACAAATTGACAGCTCTGAGTCTCTACATCGTAACTGCAAGAACTTAGTCCCTTGAATGTCTCCCAGATTTTTCTGGGAGTCTCCGGAAAGTGACTCATATGTTCTCAGAAATGAGGGCTCCTCCCTCTCTCTCTCTCTCTCTTTCTCTGTCTCTCCCTCCACCTTCTGTTTTTCTTTTTTTTTTTTTCTTCCTCTATAACTTTCAAGCAGTGGCCTGCAGCCTGCAAAGTGCCTGCAGAACTGCCTCCATACTGCCCCTGTTGTTACAAGTGTCTGTGAATAAATGGTCAACCCCCCAACCAGGTTTTTCTGCTGCTTTGCCAAGGACAGTTTTCTCCTGAGGGAGATCCCAAGGCCGCCAGGCTATTCACAGAGAGTCACAAGGTCCTTTAGTCCCTGGACTCCCTCTCCTTTTCTCCAACGCCCCAGCGCCTTTCCTTCCATTATCCTTTCCTCCCACCTCTACTTATTCTCAGACATTCCTACACCTACAAAACGGAGAATCAAAAACCCCCGTACAACACCAACCCACGCTGTGGGGCTGGGGTGGGGACATCGTCTTACTCATCTCACCTACTCACTCAGAATCTTCTTTTCTCCTCAGGCAAGCCACTGGGAGGATTTTCCAACCTGACCAAGAGTTTCCTCTCAGCCTCCAACTGCTCAATTAAAACCAGTTTCGGCTGTCCCTATCCCTCATGGCTGTGTGGCACAAGTCTGAGAATTTACCTATCAAATCCAGAGTTGCCAGGGAGCCATCTGGATAGGCAGCAGGAGGTCAGGGGTACTGTCCCTGTGCTGCATCAGGACTAAGTGTTGATGAGCACTGATGAGTTTCAGAGTACTGAATTAGGGCACTTATTAGTGACTCAAACTCTCATTTCCTCACTAACCACTCCCATCCTAACCTGAATCATTTTCATATCTGTTGTAAAGACAGAGGATGAAAAACAAACTGTCGAAAGGATTTTGGCTGCAAATAACAAAAATTCTGATTCAACCTGGTTTAAACACATGGAACATTAATTATCTTATGTAACAGTGAATCCATAAGTAGGGCAAGCTTCAGAGTTGAGTGACTCAGTGGTTCAGCAGTATCAACAAGAAGCCAGGTTGTCTCCATATCTGTGATACGTAGTCCATACATTGTTTCACCTTTGGACTCATTCTCCTCCTGGTCACAAGATGGCTGCCGATAGAAACTGGGAAAACCTGTGCCCTTGATTTTATGCATTAGGATAAAGAGAGAGGGAGAGGAGGATAGAGAGATGGGGGAGGGAAGGGAAAGAGTGAGGGAGGGACGTCTTCCTGAAATATGGAATGTGAATTTTTTCATGTAATCTGGGCCAATTTAGGTCATATGTCCACTGTGATCAGTGAGCATCACCAGAAAAATGCTATCCATTGATTTGTTGTGACTAATCAGAATCTATGCCCAGAGTTAGAAAAGGGTAAGCTTTTCTGAGTCGCCTGGGTTACACGAGAGGTGGATGGATAGTTGAACAGAATTGGGATTTTTTTTAGGAAGGAGGAAAAAGGGAATGGATGCTGAATAGCCAAGTGAAAGAATCCTCTACACAAACAATTCAATTTTATGCCATTTCTCTATCCCTGTAATGGCCTTGGTAGTTCAGGAACTTCGGTAATATTCTTACAGTTTGGCAGCCTAAATAGTGCAGAGAGGATGGGTGTTGGATTCCTGTGGACCCCAGTTTGAGTCATAGCTTTGCCATCTTCTAATTGTCTGACTTCCAGACAAGTGAAGTAACCTCCCTGATCTTCTGTTTCCTTATCTGTTAAATAGCTTAATGCTACTGACTGTGGAGCATTGTTGTGGGTATTAAAGACACAGTGTAAGTAAAGTATTGATCATAGAGCTGGCCACATAGTAGGTACTCAAGAAATGTTACTTTTCTGTGCTTTGTCCTGCCCACTCCCACTGGCCAATTTTGGAACATAACCACCTACCCACTCCACACCCCCGTCCCTCTTGGCCAGCTCTTAGTGACACTCATTTGCACTTAGTCCTTTTTCCAGCCACACTTCTGGGCTCCTTGGGCCATCCAGGGGGCCAGTAGTTGAGGGTTATATGTCTAGCAGCCCTTTCCAAAAGGTGGAAGTTGATGGTGTGATATGCACC